GCAGAGGGGCGGGTTATAAATAAAAATTTATTATTATTATTATTATTGGTTTTTATCTACAATTACATTACCAAAACAAAAAACAAAAAAACCCACCCCAAATCCTTAGGTTTTATGGCCAAGTAATGATTTGAGTGTTGGACTACGACTCTGGAGACCAGGGTTTGATTCCCTGCTAGGCCATGAAACCCACTGCGTGGCCCCTGGGCAAGTCACATGCTCTCAGCATCACAGGACAGCAAAGGCAAACCTCCTCTAAACAAATCTTGGTAAAGAAACCCCATTATAAGTTTGCCTTAGAGTTTCCACATGTCAGAAATTACTCGGAGGCACACAACACAGAAACATCAGCTGATAACTATATTTACACTTACTTGTGAATCCAAGTCTTCTCCTTTTACACACAGGTTTGCATCAATTACATTTAACCCAACGAGCAACCCAACGATAACTACTCCTTCTTCTTCCATCATCAGTGCATGATTTTCATAAAATTCACTGTAAAATGCATTTTAAATACTTTAAATTTTTACATACTTTAAAACCTTTATAAAATCCCAACCAATCCTGTGAATTGATCTTGTAAATTTATTTTCAAGTCTCTCTTAAGAATTGCTTCATCATGTGTATTCCAAGAGGTTTAAAAGCTTAACTCACCACAGCAAGCTACAGAATATGCCAACTTATAAAGAATCAAAGTTCTTTAAAAAAAAAAAAAAAACAGAGATCTGAGGAGCTGGCAAGCAAGGCATTGAAGGATGATGTGTCCAATCCCATCCTGGCGGCAAACTGTGGTGCAACAAAGAGTTGTGACAGGACCCTGCTTCTGCCTGTTGCACAAACCTTGTGAGTTTTGCCACCTCAAATAGAATAAAATAGTAATAAAAAAGATCAATGCAACCCAGAAAGGTCTGAATTTCAACTGACATTCTCACACACAATTGGCTTATATAGGTCTGACTCTGAACTCTCCACTCCACCCTATACATCTGAGGAAGTAGGCTCAAGTCTAAAAAAGCTCATGCTACCAGCTTCTTTCTTTCAATTAGGGCCTAAGCAGACCAGGGCGTCCAGGACGCCCTGGTCTGGAGCACCGCGGGGCCATGGCAGCCGCACCGCGGCGCTCCTACGGCGACCCTAAAAGGAGTGCCAAATTGGCGCCCCTTTTAGAAGTCAGGGAAAGTGCGCCCTAAACGCGTCGGGCGCACTTTCCCTGACTCTTCCACCGCAGCGCATGAGGACGCTGCAGCGGGAGGTTGCCCCCAGAGCGCCGGCCGTGAGGAGGGCCGGCAGCTCCGAGGGCAACCTCGGGAAGAGGAAGGGGTGCCGCTCGTGCGGCTGCTCCTCCTCTTCCAGGCCTCGGAGACGACTCTATTAGTCGTCTGCCAAGGCCCTTAGTCTCAAAGGTGCTACTAGATTGCTTTGCATATTTATTCAGTGTGTGTGCTCTAGCTGGATTAACAATTCGGCTTAGCCCATAAGCTAAAAGACAACCATATATTTCATATTACTTTGGATAATTTTAGTGAAAAATACATGTTCATCTACTTTTTGTGTTCTTCAAGTGATCTATTTTTCAGCTTGCCTATATTTTAAGCTAGACATGAATAACCTGGTTTAAGTAGCAAGAACATGAAGTGTTCAGATCTGTTGTGCAAACAAATTGCATGCAAGTTGTTTTTTATTCAACCAACTGAAGAAAGATAAATGTGAGAGTTTAAGGTATACCTTTATGACAGTTTATAAGTAACTTGTTACCAAAATATGTAGCTGTGTTGGCCATTAGCAAATTCAAACAAAAATCCACCAAACAGTAATACCTTTATTGGGCAACCTTTATTGGCCAACCGAAATGAAAAATATATTTGTTTTAAGTTTTCGACTCTCCACAGGCTAATAGGCCTAATAGCCCTAAAGGCATAAAAGATGATATAGCTGTAATGTATTTACCTTGAGTAAATATTTAGAATATGGAGCCTGAAGTTGATACATCTTGCCTGATGAAGAAGGCTGTGAAGCTTTGAAAGCTTGCAACAGTATATTATTTATTTCTGTTGGCCGATAAAGGTATCACTGTTTGGTGGATTTTTGTTTGAATTTGCTACATGGCCAACACAGCTACCCCTGCATGTTTTCTGGATTGTGAGATACCACATTATAGCTGCAACAGGGGAACCCTAAAGTGACTGGGACCTTCAACCAAGCTAAAACACTTATTCTTCTTTATAAATTTGGACTATATTGGCAAGTTTTACCTCTACATCTACCAAAATGTTCCTGATGCAAAAACATGGAGACTTCTTGAGAAATCCATTGTCCTCTGCCAACAAAGAGGCCTATGGCCTCACAGGAACGGAGACATATTAGATTGCAAGAGAGGAGTCCTGCTTTAATTGCAATGGTACAAAGCTATGGAATTCTGGGATTTGTAGTTTTGTGAGATATTTAGCCTTCTCTGTCAGAGAGTTCTGGTGATACAATGAACTACAAATCCAAAGCTTCCATAATGGCAGTTAAAGTGGTGTCAAACTGCATTAATTCTCTAATGCAGATACAGCCTAAGTTATGTCATGGTTACGAAGTAACAAGTATAAGTTAACTCCTTTTGTGAAGTTACTGGAGTTTTACAGGTATCTCCATATTGACAATAGGTGTAGTTTTACTAATTAGATGTGTTTGTACTATAGGCTACCAACCTGTGGTATTCTGGTAGGTTTCTTAGACAAAGTAGTTATTTAGCATTCTCTGAAGAACAAGAAAGGAAAGAGGGTTTGTTTTTAAGTAACTGGCACCAAATTGAGGTGTTGGGGAGTGGGGGAAAGTATGTGTAAATAACTTTCCAAGCTCTGATCTTTACTGTTATATTATTAAGTAGTAGTTATAATTAAATATAAAGCAGCTATACAGTTTATATAAAAATTACAGTACTCACCTAAGGAGATCTTTCCGGAAGATAAGACATCGTAAGTAATCAGCCATCTTTTTTTGCATGAGTGCCAATCGTAGCCATGCCCGAGCACGTCCTAATGAAGTCCTGAAAAAAGAAAGCAACAGCCCCAAAATGCACTTGTTAGCCAGAAGTACTGTTTAAATATATCCAACAGCATTTTTGATAAAGAAACAAATATTTATTGAGTCAGTTTGAATTTCAGTTTGAACAAAACAGTTTAAATAAATTCAGGATAAAGCTGGCTTTGGTTTTATTTGAAGGCTAAATGAAAGAGGAAATTGGTAAAAAGGTAAGAAAGTTCCAATTTATTTTAATTGATGTTTGAAATAGCCCTAAAGACATAAAATATGATATAGCTGTAATGTGTTTACCTTGAGCAAATATTTAGAATATGGAGCCTGAAGCTGTCCCATTCAAGTTCCAGAGAAATCTCAACCTAAGCATTGTGTTATGCATTCCACCCAAAGAACCTAGCCTTTTCAATGTAAAGCTTGTGGAAATGTTAACATCACCATCCTACTAGGGGGGGAAAA